CGGGGGCGCGCGGGCCGCGGGGTGCGCGGGGGGCGTCCGGGCCCCTGGACGCGGCTGACGAGTGGGCGCGCAAAGGCGGCTTCATCCACAAGCCCGCGCACGGCTGGCTGCACCCCGACGCCAGGGTCCTGGGGCCGGGGGTGTCCTACATCGTCCGGGTGAGTGCGCCCGCGGGACTCTGGGGTCGCGTCCCCTCCGAAACCCCTCTCTGCATCCAGGGGTCTAGGGCTCTCTCCACTTCCTTTACAGAGCGTGGACCCTAAGAGTTAGGTGTCCTCTCTCCCCACCTCCGCGACCCCCATCTCTGGTCTGGTTCCCACGGCATCACGTGGGGAGGGGCGGGGAGAGGCGCAGGTGGGAGGGCGCATGCGCAAGTATTCCCCCCTTCCTAGTTGGGTTGGGGTCCAAGAAGAGCACACGGATGAGACACACAGCCACCTAGCCCTAGGACCACTCCATCGCATAGACCTTGGCTAGAGGCGCTGGTGACTTTAATGGGACGCCAAGATTTTGGGATTGGACCTGCAGCTCCCTTGTGGCTGGGAGATCCGCCTTTGTTTAATTATCCCGGGATTTTGTTCTGGGCCATGCCAACACGCAGAAAGTGTGGAAATAGATGAGCCCCCTCCACCTATGGACACTGACAATCCTTCAGGGCCCCGTGTGTGTAGCTTGTTTTTTGTCCTTTGGTGGTGCTGAGGATGGAAGTCTGGGGTGTGGCACAGCTAGGCAAGCATTCAACACAAAACCACACCCCCTGTGCTTTTTATTTTTTAATTTTAATGTTTTGTCTTTGTGAGATAGGGTCTCCCTATGTAATGCAGACTGGCCTTAAAGTCACTTATATAGCCCAAGCTGGCCTAAAACTCATGGTGATTCTCCTGCCTCAGCCTCCAGAGTGCTGTGATTACAGGCTTGAACTAGCAGGTTTGGCTCATTAATTTTTTTTTTTATTTTTGTCTTTTTATTTATTTATTTATTTATTTATTTATTTATTTATTTTTGAGACAGGGTCAAGCTATGCAGTTCAGGATGGCCTTGAGCTCACTTTGTACCTCCGGCTGGTCTTGATCTCCCAACAATTCTTTTGCCTCAACCTCCCCAGTGTTTTTATTTTAATTTGAGACAAGTTGTTGCTGAATTGTCCAGGGTGGCCTGGAACTTGAGATCCTTCTGCCTGAGCCACCCTGATTGCTGGAATTACAGGCATGTAGTGCCATACCCGGCTTTTTGTCTAGTTTTTAATAAAGCCTTTGGAAAGAAGCCTCAAGTGAGTGTTGCTGGCCTTCAGAGACCTCTCTTGCCACCCACCAAAGTTGGCAAAACCATCAGTGTCTGCTGGGAGCATCGGCATGGGCAGGGCCTGCAGCTCCTTCCTGGTACTCCTGATAGGAGCCTGAAGAGGTGTTTGAGGCTGGTGGTCCTGGGTCCTTGCTTTCTGAGAAGGGTCCCCAGCACTACCCCCCATCTGTGTGCATGGCGGATCTGTGAGTGGGACTTGGGTTGGAAGAGGGGACCTCGCAGATGTCATCAGAATGGTATAGTGCTGCTGGATTAGAGGCCAAGGGGCCACGAGAAGACAAGATATACGGGGCTGGAGTGAAGCCGACTCAAGCCACTTTACTCAGAGCCACTGAAGCTGGTCAGGTGTCCCTGAAGCTGGGGGAGGCAAGGACTCTCCCCTGGTGCTTGGAGGAGAGGTACAACCCTGCACAGTCTGATCTCAGAATTCCCACTTCCAGAACTGATTACTTTTGTGTGTGTGTGTGTGTGTGTGTGTGTGTGTTTGTTTGTTTGTTTTGAGATAAGGTCTCTATGCAGTGCAGGCTGGCCTTGAACTCACTTTGTAGCCCAGGCTGGCCTGAAACTTGCAGCGATCCTCCTGCTCAGCCTCCCAAATGCTGGGATTACAAGTGTGTGCCACCATACCTGGCCTTTTCTGTTCTAAGCCTCCTAATTGGTGGTAGGTTGTTACAGCAGCTGCCGGCCGCTAAGACCCCACCACACCCCAAACGGGTCCAGGCTGGCATCAGATCTCTGGGATGTGCAGATCCCCAGGTCTGACCTGGACCCACAGGTTTAGAATTTGTTCTTGACTCCCAGGTCTGGGTGGACAGTTAGCGTCCAGCGCATGTGGTTAGCGTTTGCCTACTGCTTCAGGTACTGAGGATGTGGAGGCAAGGAGAAAGGCCTGGCCTTAGGGAGCTACTGCAGGTTGTAGTGGGAGAGGCAATGAGTAAGTAAGGGGACAAGAAAAGCCTGGCCGAGTGGAGCACACCTGTCACTCTGGGAGGCAGATGCAGGAATATGACAAGTTTGACCTACTCTGGGCAATGTAGTGACTTAGACTCTGTGTCAAAATAAAAAATAAAAACAAGCTTGAGATGTAGTTCAGTGGGGTGGCCCTGGGTTCAAATCCTATCAGTAGTGTACGGGGGGGGGAGAGAGAGAGAGAGAGAGAGAGAGAGAGAGAGAGAGAGAGAGAGAGAGAGAGAGAGAGAGAGAGAGAGAGAGAGAGAGAGAGAGGAGAGAGAGAGTATAAATGGAAGTTGGGAAGTCATAGGGCCTGGGAGGGGCGAGGCAATAGTAACATTGGATGGCAGGTAGACAGATGACTAGCTAGTAGAGCTGGAGGTGAGATCTAGGCTGAGACATGCAGCTCTAGAAGGCTCAGGCTGGGACCGCTGGGGGTGCTGATGGTGGCTGAGGTGGCAATGCTGGTCAGGGACCGTGTAGAGTCTGAAGCAGCCTCAGCCCAGCTCTGTGTCTTGGGAGCTGCTGCTTCCTGCTCGGGTATCCCAGGGTGAGCGGATGCCAAACAAGCCTCCTGGTTGGCAGACAAGTAGGAGATGGGGTTGGGCACTGCCCACCCCCAGTCACATCAGCGGAGAGACATGGGATCAGCAGATCTGAGCACATCTCTTGTGCCAGGAACTCCCTGTTACAGATGGGGAAACTGAGGCACAGGGAGGCAAGGTTGCTTTGTGGCCATCCAGGCCCAGACGCGAGCAAGGTCTCCTTCCATGAGGGTGAGAATCCCTGAGGACCTGTGATTGGCAAATTAATGACCTCCATGAGTCTTAAGTTCAGGACCCTGAGAGGGGGTCACCTTGGAACAACCAGGCTGGGTGTCTCCCAGAGCCCCTCTGAGTGGGTGTAGGGGTCTGAGAGGCAGAGAGAGTCTGAAGAAGTGGTGTTGCCAGCTCTGCAGATGGAGGAAGGTGCCACAAGC